GAGGAAATCCAAAGAATCTTCAGGTCATACTTTGAAAACCTGTACTCCACAAAATTTGAAAATTTAACAGAAATGGACAATTTTCTGGACAGTTATTACTTACCAAAATTGAATCAAGAACAGATAAGCAACTTAAACAGATCTATAACCTATAAGAAAATAGAAGCAGTCATCAAAAGTCTCCCAACCAAAAAAAGGCCTGGGCCAGATGGATTCACTGCAGAATTCTACCAGAAATTCAAAGAAGAGCTAATACCAACACTCCTCAAATTGTTCCACACAATAGAAGCAGAAGGGACATTGCCAAACTCTTTTTAGGAGGTTACAATAACCTTGATGCCCAAGCCACATAAAGACACTACTAAGAAAGAGAATTACAGACCAATATCTCTCATGAACACAGATGCAAAAATTCTCAATAAAATACTGGCAAATCGAATCAAAGAACACATCAGAGAAATCGTCCACCATGAGCAAGTAGGCTTCATCCCAGAGATGCAAGGATGGATCAACATACGAAAATCCATCAATGCAATCCACCATATAAACAGACTGAGGGAAAAAAAAAACAACATGATCATCTCACTAGATGCCAAAAAAGCCTTTGACAATATCCAACACCCCTTTATGATAAAGGTCTTGGAGGAATCAGGGATAATAAGAACATACCTCAACATAATAAAAGCAATATACAGCAAGCCGACAGCCAACATCAAATTAAATGGAGAGAAATTCAATGCAGTTCCTCTAAAATCCGGGACAAGACAAGGCTGTCCATTCTCTCCATACCTCTTCAATATTGTCCTTGAAGTTCTAGCTAGAGCAATAAGACAACAAAAGGAGATCAAGGGAATACAAATCGGAAAGGATGAAGTCACTCTCACTATTTGCAGATGATATGGTAGTCTAAATACGTGACCCAAATACAGTTCCCAGCTGTAGGGGACTCCTACAGCTGATAAACACCTTCAGCAAAGTGGCAGGATACAGGATCAACTCAAAAAAATCTGTACCCCTACTATATACCGTTGACACATTGGTGGAGAAAGAAATCAGAGAAACATCACCCTTTACAATTGCCACAAACAACATAAAATACCTTGGGGTAACACTAAACAAAAACGTGAAAGACCTGTACCATAAGAATTTTGAGTCTCTAAAGAAATAAATTAAAGAAGATACCAGAAAATGGAAAGATCTCCCATGCTCTTGGATAGGTAGGATCAAGGGGAACACTCAGTCATTGCTGGGAGTGCCAACTTGTACAGCCACTTTGGAAATCAGTATGGCGACTCCTCAAGAAAATGAGAATCAGTCTACTACAAGATCCAGCAATTCCACTCTTAGGCATATACCCAAAGGAGGACATTCCGACAACAAAGACATCTGGTCAACGATTTTCATAGCTGCACTATTTGTAATAGCCAGAATCTGGAAGCAGCCTAAATGCCCCTCAACTGAAGAATGGATATAGATACAGAAATGTGGTACATTTACACAATGGAGTACTACTCAGCAGAAAAATCTGACAGAGGGCTCATCTCCAAAATTTATAAAGGATTCAAGAAGCTAGTCTCCAAAACATCAAACAATCCAATTAAAAAGTGGGATACAGAACTAAATAGACAATTCTCAATAGAGGAATCTAAAATGGCTGAAAGACACATATGAAAATGTTCAACATCCTTAGCCATCAGGGAAATGCAAATCAAAATAACTCTGAGATACCATCGTACTCCTGTCAGAATGGCTAAAATCAAAAACACCAATGATAGTTTATGCTGGAGAGGATGTGGAGAAAGGGGAACACTCAGTCATTGCTGGGAGTGCCAACTTGTACAGCCACTTTGGAAATCAGTATGGCGACTCCTCAAGAAAATGAGAATCAGTCTACTACAAGATCCAGCAATTCCACTCTTAGGCATATACCCAAAGGAGGACATTCCGACAACAAAGACATCTGGTCAACGATTTTCATAGCTGCACTATTTGTAATAGCCAGAATCTGGAAGCAGCCTAAATGCCCCTCAACTGAAGAATGGATATAGATACAGAAATGTGGTACATTTACACAATGGAGTACTACTCAGCAGAAAAAAAAAAAACCAATGGAATCTTGAAATTTGCAGGAAAATGGATGGAACTAGAGGAAACCATTCTGAGCGAGGTAACCCAATCAGAAAAAGACATTGTATGTACTCACTCATATGCGGATTTTAGACATAGAGTAAAGGATTACCAGCCTACAATCCACACTGCCAAAGAAGCTAATAAACAATGAGGACCCTAAGAGAGACATACATGGTCCCCTGGAGAAGGGGAAAGGGTCAAGATCTGCTGAGCAAATTGGGAGCAGGGGAAGAGGGGGGAGGGAGCTAGGAGAATGTGAAGAGGAGCAAAAGAGGGATGTAGAGGACATGAGGGAGCAGAAAGGTTGAGTCAGGGGAAGAATAGAAGATAGCAAGAATGGAGATGTCATAATAGAGGGAGACATTTTAGGTTTACAGAGAAATCAGGCACTAGGGAAATTTCTGGAGATATACCAAGATGACATCAGCTAACAATCTAAGCAACAGAGGAGAGGCTACCTTAAATGCCCTCCCCTGATAGTGAGATTAATGACTAACTTATATGCCATCCTATATAGCCCTTGTCCAGCAGCTGGTGGAAGTAGAAGCAGACACCCACAACTAACCTCCAAACTGACCTGCAACCCAGATGCAGAGAAAGACATGTGAAGAGCATAGGGATCTAGACCAGGCTAGTGAAACCCACAGAAACAGCTGACCTGAACATCGGGGAACTCTTGCTCCCCAGACTGATAGCTGGATTACCAGCATGGGACTGATCCATACCCCAGGAACATGGGTTTCTGTAAGGAAACCACAGTAATCTATGGGACCTCCTGTAGAAATTCAGTACTTATCCCTAACATAGATGTGGACTTTGGGAGCCCATTCCACATAGAGGAATACTCCCTGAGCCAAGACACACAGGGATGGGTCTAGACCCTATCCCAAAGGATACAATAGGCCTCACCATCCAGGGGGAGCAGAAAGGATATGTGATAGATAGGGTTTTAGTTGGGGGTGGTGGTAGGGGAGGACGGGTGTGAAAAAGGAACTGGGATTGTCATGTAAAACGATCTTGTTTCTAATTCAAATAAAGAAAAGTTGAAAAAAAAGATA